ACTCTCCTTATGATAATACTGCACTTCTCTTGACATACATCTTGTTCTTGCCTTGTCAAGGGACGCCATTTAACCGGCTGTCACAATCGCCATACAATCAGCACGAACCCCTCGGGATGTAGCGCTCAACAGTGCATCCCACTTTTAAATCAGCTGCTTCGTCTTAATGTTCTTCTTTATCAATAGCTACCGCAACACTTTTCCATTTTAAACAACCAGCTCTCTTTCTCCCGGATTCCTCGATTTGCTTGCTCAGTTCACTCTCTCCTAAACAAGATAATGAAGGCAGTACCTTATGAAAGGGTTTGTCAACTAGGTTTGGCCTCGGGACAATTATTTTCTGAGCTAATAGTCCGCGGGCTATAACATAATGAGTATATAATATTAGCACAATTAATTGGCCTACACTACAAATTGAACAACATTTTTAACACATCTGATTAGTACATAATAAATTCAGTGACGATAACATAACAATTTCGATCTGATTACCCTCATAAAATCACCATGTCTCTATTCAATTATTGTTTTGTCTATTTCTCTGTGTGTTGATTGGTTGGGGAAAAACAGGTCTACTTAGCCTAGTGTAGGCTACACTACTTTTTTTAACGACAACATTAGTTCAGAACAATTAGCTTGATAGCAAGAGAAAATGTCGCTCTCAAAAAGTATCAAAAGGAAGGTGGATAATGAAAATCGAAGTTTCTAGGAAGAATGTACAGAGAGATATGCGTTCATCTTATCATATTTTCCCAATGCCAAGGCAGTGTGTCTTATTTGCAATGAAAATGTTGCTGTTTGCAAAGAATTCAATCTCAGACGTCATTATGAATCTAAGCATGGAACTTCAAAGTGTTCTTCCCGCCCCAGACAGAGGCCCGACGCAGAAACATTGAAGTGTTAACTGCAAGCTACACACAAGGCTTTTTTGGCTGACATGTTCTGTCACTTAAACGTGTTAAATCTCCAGTTACAAGGAAGAGGGAAAACATTCGTAGACATGGTGGAAAAACTTGAGGCCTTTGCTAGGAAGCTTGAGTTGTCTGATTTGGACTTGTCATCTGGAAGGCTACTGCGCTTCAGCACACTGAAGAAACGACAGGCAAATGGACCAGGCCGCAGCATTGTCTCAGAGGTGATGGAAGATTTCATCAAGCATCTGAGGGACAACTTCTCCATCAGATTTGAAGACTACAGCATGCCCAAGGATATAATTGCGTTTGTACGTGATCCTCTCAAAGTCCGCCCAGGTGGAGATTTCTCCTCCCTTGCTAAGAAAACGATACCCTCTCTGGATGAGGCCGCAATTCAAACGGAGCTGATTGAATTCCAGACATCGAGCCAAATCAGGGATGCGCTCAGGAGTGCTGAATCCTTGTGTGCATTTTGGCATGCTCAGAGGAATACCGCACAATAAAGAAACTTGTATTTTCTGTGCTAACAATGTTTGGATCGACTTACACCTGCGAGTCCTCATTTTCCGCACGACAGGAACCGGCTTTCACATAAGTCAATCGAGGACTGCTTACACATCAAAATCACATCCATCTCATGCGACATCCACAAGATCGTGCAACTTTTCCCATTAAGTAAGTAATTTAGTGGCCTATATGACTGTACTTAGTAAATACTAACATTATTGTGAGTGCTTATCCAGGGATATTTACGTCTCAAGCGGACAGTATTTTATGTTTGTTCTGTGGTTACAGGAGCAGGCTATCCCGATACAGACATTCAGACACAGACATCGCCTTTTTTTCTTTAAATTATTGTTTTATGTAGGATGTTACATTTTTGGCCAGTTGCAATTGTAAGTAGGCCTAATCCAAAACATCTCCACTTCTATTAGGCCATGTCTTTTGTTATTGTGGAAGATGCTGTTAAGCCTACCTCAGCCAGTTGTTATTTTATATAGGCCTTGGCTCGGAAGAAATATACTCCAATTAAGCCCTCTTGTTGTTTGTAAAGTCAAATTAAAATGAAAATTATTGTTTAAATGAATGACTCGATTGGTGTAGGTTTTCTCCATCTGTTGCTGTCAACACTTGCATAACAAGTTAGCTATAATTTCAGCACCAGGCGCTGTTCACCTTCTATTGATTGCGCTGCAGTTGCAGCTTTACGTTTCAGCACAACTGAATGGTCCACCGCCTGCTTTATTACTTGACTATCTCCTGCATTCTCTCTCCTCATGAGTGAAGTTAAATGTAACTTTTGAATTATTTAGGTTGGGTAACTTCCTTCTTGGGGCATTGCATTTGGGAGTTTTTGCATCTGGGGTCAGAGATTTTTGTCTTATAATATATTTCTTTTATGGAAAAGAATATTCATTATTAATCTGAGAGGCTTTGGGGGACCAAATACTTTTGCTGGCACCCCAGATTTGGCCCACGGTCCGCCAGTTGGGGAACCCTATCTTATGCCATTGCATGGCTAGGTGCCCAATCAGAATGCATTTGGGGATTTTAACTACTTTTTAACTACTAAATATGATATTATTACATCCCCCCTCCCTCCACCCACCTCAGATCATGAGCGTACACCCGGCATAGCATCTGTCTCGGTCTGTGCTACTGGCAGGCCCGGCAACGCTACATTGGCAAAACCGGGCATTATAATTCATATACCATTTGTTATGTTTATGGGGAAACAAAACAAATTATATCTGGGGGGTGTATGCCCGGCTTTGCCACCCCATAGAGCCAGCCCAGCTATTTAGCAGTCTTATGGCTTGGGGGTAGAAGCTGTCTCAGAGCCTGTTGGTCCGAGACCCAATGCTCCGGTAGCGTTTGCTGGATGGTAGGATAGTGAACAGTCTATGGCTTGGGTGGCTGGAAGGTGTATGATTGCCATCCCCATGAGCGTGCCACACTCCTTCAGACCATGTATTAGCAATGCAATGACATCAATCCATACCTATGTCAGGCTTGGATACGCCTTGCTGAAAGGTTTTTCCCCAGGTGCATGAACAATGAGGACATTTACTAGAATGTCAATGAGAACCTACGACCAAATGCTCAAGACATGCTTGATGCAAACTAGTGCCTGCTAAACAGTATGTTTCTTTCATTCATTTCATTTGTTTCATTTGATTACAGTACACCTATGTTGTAATTATATCTGAACAATTCATGTATGTTTTGCATCAATGATGCAAACACACATGGGATAGAAATGATGGAAATTAGGTTTTCAGTCAGTTCTGATGGGTAGTGCAAGTGTATTGCCTAATGTGAAAACAGGGTAATGTACTGTAATTTACAGCACTGTAGCATAATACATTCCAAATGCAATTTTGAAACATGTATCTAGCATTTTTTGCAATTGGATTTACTGGTTGTTAAAACAACTAGATTGAGAAGATATCATTATGTTGTGTTTTGGATTAATGGTTGTGTGGTGAAAGATGTCTCCAAACAAAATGAATGCACAATAAAAGGTTTTGAATATAAGACTTGCTGTGTTACAAGTGTTACCTGTTTGCAGTTTCATTTTTTTCTTTACGTTAAAATAAACTGTAAATTGATGTCAATAGATACATTTATATATGATGTAAAAAATATAGACTTTTACAGTGTTCAGCAGAGAAGAACACCAGAGAAGTCGGTGTTTGGAGGATATATTGGCACGGGTGTTGTTAGGCCCGAGTTGAAGTCGAGGGCTGGCTGAGGGTTGAAACGTGTTCAACTTCAATGAATGCACAATCAAAGGTTCTGAACATAAGATAGAGTGCATTACAAGTATTATCAGTTTAGCGTTTTGTACTTTGTGTTTTGAAAATACACCACTTACATCTGAAAAATGTGCCAAAGTGATTTAAAAAAAATAACAGTACTATTTTTAATGTAGCCGATAAAGATATCCACTGGGCACACACTGGTTGAATCAATGTTGTTTCAACGTAATTTTCAATTTATTGTGATGTGGAATCAACATGGATTGTTACATCAATCTAATTTCAGCATAATCATCAGAACCATGTATACATTGAAATTGTTGAAAATTCCACATAGAAACATAAAAAATATTTGTAATCCTATATTGGGTGGTTCAAATAATGTTTGATTTTATATTTGATTAGACACATTTTATTTGACCTTGTTTCAATGTTGATAGTAAAATTTTATGTTTTAATCTACGTCATCTTTCAACATCATGCCATCAACCTAAACAAAGAGGTATTTTAAAATCCAGGCTCTGTCGCAGCCGGCCGCGACCGGGAGACTCATGGGCGGCGCACAATTGGCCCAGCATCGTCCAGGGTAGGGGAGGGAATGGCCGGCAGGGATGTAGCTCAGTTGATAGAGCATGGCGTTTGCAACGCCAGGGTTGTGGGTTCGATTCCCACGGGGGGGCAGTATAAAAAATAAAAAAAATATATAAAAAAAAAATAGAAAAGAAAAATAAAATAAATAAATAATATAATAAAAATGTATTCACTAACTGTAAGTCGCTTTGGATAAGAGCGTCTGCTAAATGACTAAAATGTAAATGTAAATGTTAAAATGAGAAGCCACAGCCCAACAATGCCTGCCTAAACAGCAACACCTACTGGTATATGAAGGGTATTACTTCAGTGAGATTAAGTCTACCATCAAGATGTCTCCCTCTATGAAACCTGCTTAGCTTTGGAAACAAGCTGTGTATGTTTCGGCTGAGTTATCATGTCAACACATTCAAATATTGATCAGCTTCCATACTCACTTGTGTAGACTACCTAAATAACGTTGAATAGTTGAAAGTAACTCCTCTAACATTTCTTACACAAGCTGCATGTGAAATTAAATTAGGAGTGAGGATTGGTTTACTTTTTTGGTTACTACATGATTCCATATTTGTTATTTCATAGTTTTGATGTCTTCACTATTATTCTACAATGTATCTAAGGCACACGCAACTCCATATTGGGGCAGCAAAACACCAGCGAATCGGGAGAAGAAGGTTTGCACCTGAGTGACATCTGCAAGGGATTGCTTATTAAAACGAGGGGTTGGCTGATGCTAGTCCCAGAACAGAACCCTCAATTCTGTTTCAGTGTTTCCAAGGACCCTCATGGCCGGCACCACAAACCCAACAGTACACGTCCCTCCCCAATTAGGTGGTAAACTATAATAAGCAAATCGGCCACACAACCAATACGTACCATGTGGGGCTCCTTTCAGTGCGATAGACTTATTGTAGACAGAAATTGTATAACTCACATTTCCTGTGCTCCTGTAACAGAATCATGTACTACAAGAGAGCAGTTATTGCTACCATTAACCAACATAGTACAGTTACAAACACTCCCATATCCTCTAATACACCAGGGGGCAACCAGGGATCCTACTATAGGGATGGGTGGGTGACTGCAATTGTTTGGTCTAGGATATACAAGGCTGACAGTAACATTGTATATCGCAAAATAAGTAATGGGTTCGGGATTCTTTGGGGGAAAATTGGCCAATGACAATATTGAGGAGAGTTGAATAGTTAAGTTCATCCCCAAGGGAACCCCTACATATCGGAGAACCTTACCTATTCCCACAGGACCCAACAAGAAGTCTTATATGAAGTGCCATTTGCCACCATTTCAGCTCGAGAGAGGAACAGATTCCCTCATCTAGACCTTTTACTTCTCTTTTCCTTCAGATGACTTCTCCCTCTGGACCAGTACTCTAGGTCTGCTGTGGTGCCTTTGGCTCATGACTTTCATCTTCACCTGAACAGTCACCCACTGGAGGGCAACCAACGGTTCCAATCAACACAATGGTGCAGATCCAGACAGGCAGGCCAAACAGCTTAAGGGATGGGACTCCCGCCAACCTCCTCAGGGGCAGGAACTCGTCTGCAGTGCGAGACGTGAATCCAGGTGTCCCTCTCAGCTACCTTTACCGCAGTCGGGGTGGTCAGCAAAACCTGATATGGTCCTCTCCAACGAGGATCCTTCCAGCTCTTCCTTCTGTAGTCTTTTACCACCACGAAGTCTCCAGGGCACAGACAATACTCAGTTCCTCCTGATAGGTTGGGCAGAGAAGCCTTCACCCATGGGAAGAGCGTCTTAAGAACATTGTTAAGCGAGACACAGTATGCTACCATGTCTTCTTCCATTCTCTGCAACGTCAACCTGTTTTGAGCAAATGGCATGTTATTGATTCTCATAGATCGCCCTGTCAGCACCTCATGGGGAGAGAGACCAGTCACTGTGTGGGATCTGCCTCTCATACTCATCAGTGCCAATGGAAGCACCTTCACCCATGTCAGGCTTGTTTCACCAATCAGCTTAATCAATTTAGTTTTTAGGGTTTGGTTTGCCTGTTCTACCGAACCCCCAGATTGAGGATGATCGGCACAATGGGTTCTCAAATAAATCTGTAAAGCCTCTGACAGGGATTGAACAATCTCATTCACAAAATGTTGACCATTGTCGGAGGAGACTTTTGACGGAAGACCCCACCATGGTATGATCTCTCAGAAGCCATCGCTCTGGATAAGAGCGTCTGCTAAATGACGTAAACGTAAACATAGTTGCTGCTGTAGCTCTCCTGCAAGGAAAAGCTTAAATCCATTTAGAAAATATGTCAACAATCACCAAAACGATACTTGTTGCCCTCACAAGGGGTCAACTCAATGAAGTCCATCATCAAGTGCTCAAAGGGGCCCTCTGGCCTGGTATACTCCTGAGTGGCGCAGTGGTCTAAGGCACTGCATCGTAGTGCTAACTGTGCCACTAGAGATCCTGGTTCAAATCCAGGCTCTGTCGCCGCCGGCTGCGACCGGGAGACTCATGGGTGGCGCACAATTGTCCCAGGGTAGGGGAGGGAATGGCCGGCAGGGATGTAGCTCAGTTGATAGAGCATGGCGTTTGCAACGGCAGGGTTGTGGGTTCGATTCCCACGGGGAGCCAGTATAAAAAAATATATATATTCAATAACTGTAAGTCGCTCTGGATAAGAGTGTCTGCTAAATGACTAAAATGTAAATTTAAAAATGTATGGGACACGGGGGATACTGAAATGCCATGTCCAACATTATTAGTCATACAAGATCACACACTTCTTACAAAAGAATTCAGCAAACACAGTAAATCCTACTATACTCCAATATTTATTTACAAGATCCACCATCCCTCCTTTTGACCATGTGACAATTTAGCAAGGTATTGGAAAGTACAACAGGGCGTGGCAGGTCTATTAGAATCATCAAGCCATACACACGAGGTGTCCTTGTGACAGTGTTCAGCCGACCACCTTTTCTCAGTTGCATCAGCTGCTGCCTGCAAAACAACAACATAATTAGAAGAGAAGGGGTTAGTGGGAACAGGAACTGCTGCCATCTATAGAAGGGGGTTATAGAAGAGGAATCAACCAGCTTGGCCGCATAATCAGTTTTAGCATTCCCTTAGCGTCCTTTGCAGAAGTGTGTGCTTGCCACATAACCACTGCAATAGATGAGGGGAGCTGATCGGCCGTCAGCAAAGAGGAGACAAGATCACTGTGAGCAATAGTTTTTCCAGACAAAGAAAAAAATCCTCTATTCTTCCACAACGTGCCAAAATCGTGCACAACACCAAATGCATATCTACTATCAGTGTAGATATTAACAGAGCAATCCTTAGCCAAAATACATGCTGGTTAAACCAAATAACTCTGCAACCTGAGCAGACAAGTGAGGAGGAAGTCTAGCACTTTCCACAGTTTGAACAGCGGTGACAACAGCATAGCCTACTAAAGGTTCACCCTTGCCATTTCGCTGGGCAGAGCCATCCACAAAAAAACTCAAAGTCCGAATTCAAAAGAGGAATGTCTTTTAGGTGAAGCCTAGGGCTACAGTCAATCTCAATGGTCAATTCAGAGTCATGTTCTTCACCGGCATCAGCTGTAGGGAGGAGAGTAGAGGGGTTAAGTACAGCACATCTCTTCAGTGTAACATGAGACATCTTCAAAAGGATGTTCTGATAATCTAGCAATCTGGCAGGTGTAAGATGGGCAGTTTTAGCCTGTGTAATAATGGCATGAACCGCATGGGGAACATGCACCGTCAGCTCAGTCATTGCAACTTATCGCTCAGTCAATATGGGAACTAATTTCCCTTTTTCAGTAAATTTGTCAATCATACAAAACTCTTTCCACTCAATCACTTACTATTCTCCAAATCCTAAAACGGAGTTCCCAGAACTTCCATGTAGTTCCCAGAACTACTTGATATTCTTAAATTCCTTAAAATGGAGTTCCCAGAACTTCCATGTAGTTCCCAGAACTATGTAAGTATTCCCTGAATACCTACAGACAACATTGCCGACAGGGTCTCTCTGCCCCCGCCTAGTCCCCTCTTGGGACTCTGGATCCTTTTCTAAGCTTCTCAAAACAGTTCTTATTGTTCAAAATTCATTTAAATTAACTTACTGAAATTCAGTTGTCAGTCCTTCTAGGTTTCGTAGATTATGTGTTTTCTCCAGGGCAGCCCACAGTGGAGGTCTGGTCTGGACGGGTACTCGTCATCTTTGGTCAGAAAGGAATTTCCCTTGCATGCCTTCACATGGAATGTGCCACCAGTGTTCCCTCGCAGACTCTCACTGCCGAGCTCAGGTAGAATCAATCATCCTGTTTCGTGACGCCAAATTGTTGTGGAAATTCTCCAAGTCAAAGTTAAATGAACAGATCTTTATTATCATGGCCGGAGAGGTTACAACAAACGTAATACTAAAAGTACAAGTCTGTCAGAAGCTCTGAAGGGTGCTCTTCATTCAGCACTCTTTGTACTCATGCACAAACTAGGCATCTCTGCTCTCAGGAGGCAATAGGCTGATCATGACCTTGCACACATAGTTTCTAGACGTTGGGCCAAAGTAACAATGTGTTCCCTTCTTTCTCTTCTTCTATCAGTCCCTTCCCTGAGAGCAAATTCACAGAACATCCTAACACAATAACAAGAAACAATACGCTACAATTGCATCACACGCATTTGCAGAGACAAAGAGGACACTAACACTTCCACTACAATAGTTACTCCACAATATTAACATAAATGACAGCGTGAAAATAAGGAAACCTGTACAGAATAAAAAATATTCCAAAATATGCATCCTGTTTGCGATAAGGCACTAAAGTAATGCTGCAAAAAATGTGACAAGAAAATTAACTTTTTGTCCTGAATACAAAGCGTTACCTTTGGGGAAAATCCAACACAACACATCACTGAGAACCACTCTTCATATTTTCAAGCATGGTGGTGGCTGCATCATGGTATGGGTATGCTTGTAACTTGCAATGACTAGGGAGTTTTTTAGGATAAAAACAAACAGAATAGAGCTAAGCAAGGGCAAAATCTAAGAGGAAAACTTAGTTCAGTCTGCTTTCCAACAGACACTGGGAGACAAATTCACCTTTCAGCAGGACAATTACCTAAAACACAAGGCCAAAAATACACTGGAGTTGCTTACCAAGACGACATTGAATGTTCCTGATTGGCCTAGTTACAATTTTGACTTATTGTAAATCGGCTTGAAAATACACTGCTCAAAAAAATTAAGGGAACACTAAAATAACACATCCTAGATCTGAATGAATGAAATAATCTTATTAAATACTTTTTTCTTTACATAGTTGAATGTGCTGACAACACAATCACACAAAAATTATCAATGGAAATCAAATGTATCAACCCATGGAGGTCTGGATTTGGAGTCACCCTCAAAATTAAAGTGTTAAACCACACTACAGGCTGATCCAACTTTGATGTAATGTCCTTAAAACAAGTCAAAATGAGGCTCAGTAGTGTGTGTGGCCTCCACATGCCTGTATGACCTCCCTACAACGCCTGGGAAGAGGAATCAACCAGCTTGGCCGCATAATCAGTTTTAGCATTCCCTTAGCGTCCTTTGCAGAAGTGTGTGCTTGCCACATAACCACTGCAATAGATGAGGGGAGCTGATCGGCCGTCAGCAAAGAGGAGACAAGATCACTGTGAGCAATAGTTTTTCCAGACAAAGAAAAAAATCCTCTATTCTTCCACAACGTGCCAAAATCGTGCACAACACCAAATGCATATCTACTATCAGTGTAGATATTAACAGAGCAATCCTTAGCCAAAATACATGCTGGTTAAACCAAATAACTCTGCAACCTGAGCAGACAAGTGAGGAGGAAGTCTAGCACTTTCCACAGTTTGAACAGCGGTGACAACAGCATAGCCTACTAAAGGTTCACCCTTGCCATTTCGCAGGGCAGAGCCATCCACAAAAAAACTCAAAGTCCGAATTCAAAAGAGGAATGTCTTTTAGGTGAAGCCTAGGGCTACAGTCAATCTCAATGGTCAATTCAGAGTCATGTTCTTCACCGGCATCAGCTGTAGGGAGGAGAGTAGAGGGGTTAAGTACAGCACATCTCTTCAGTGTAACATGAGACATCTTCAAAAGGATGTTCTGATAATCTAGCAATCTGGCAGGTGTAAGATGGGCAGTTTTAGCCTGTGTAATAATGGCATGAACCGCATGGGGAACATGCACCGTCAGCTCAGTCATTGCAACTTATCGCTCAGTCAATATGGGAACTAATTTCCCTTTTTCAGTAAATTTGTCAATCATACAAAACTCTTTCCACTCAATCACTTACTATTCTCCAAATCCTAAAACGGAGTTCCCAGAACTTCCATGTAGTTCCCAGAACTACTTGATATTCTTAAATTCCTTAAAATGGAGTTCCCAGAACTTCCATGTAGTTCCCAGAACTATGTAAG